TTAACCCCGTTTCCCCAAAATGCAGCGTTTCCATTGCACATTGGTCCCCTTTGCCCATGCCACCTAAGGTATAGGTACGGGTGGCTATAGGTGCAGGTGGGTATGGGTGGCTGTAGGTGCAGGGGAGATACCTTCTCAGAACAACCCAGCTTTTAAAAGCCCCCAAATTTTATGTCCAAACTTTCCTAGCTCAGTTTTGACCGTGCTTTTTAGGTTGGTACCAGAAAAATAAAGATCTCCCAAATAGTCTTTCATCCCTAGGTGGAATTTTTTAGCTCCTCGACAGCAGTGAGGGGTGGGATGCGCAGGGAAGTTGAGCATGAGATCAATGCTTCACATGAGGACTTGCTTAAAAATAAAACACCCCCCAGCCCTCCCAGACCAGAAAATGGCTGTCACTCATTTTGGTAATAAAAGCCAAAAAGCAGAAGTTTCTTTGCATTGTGTTTCATCTCCCAGCACAGGGTTCCTCATCCAGCAGAACCTTTGGTACCGTCTCCGCTTTCAGCATTCTTCCCTACAGAAGGTAGTTGCACAGGCTGAGGGGCGGCCCAGCAAACAGAGCACCCTTGTCCTTGGTGGGACAGTGCCCGGTGCTTTCCCTTGGCCACTCCTGAGCAATTTGGAGGGGTAACGTCTTTTCTAGAGCCGAGATCCATGGAGGAAGTGGGAGCTTTCGTGTGTAGCAAAGAGGATGTGAAAACTTTGGTGGGATAACACATGCTAACTTTTTGATTTTCCTGGATCTTCATTACTTTGGATGTTTTAAACGAGGTGCGCTCATCTTGCATCTGCCACGATGGTGTAAAACCCTCAAACTTCTGGGTTGAAGCAGTGGCAAAACTCCCCAACCTGGATTTCAACCAGGCTTTCAGACCAGAGTGCCATGGATATGCTGGAGGAAATCAGGGAAGAGCCCCAGAAGAGATTAAAACACTGCAAGATCCAGCTCTGGAAGCAGGGACATGGATGAGCAGCCCCAGAGAGACAGGGGGTTGTGCCTGGGGAGAAACACACAAAAAAAGAAAGTTGAGGTTGAAGATCACAAAAGTCACCATAGCTGTGGGCACATGGTGGCATTCCCAGACAGGGAATTTTTCCACCTGCCGGTGCCACAGGGGATTATTCGGA